AGAATCTAGAAGTTCAAGTCTATATATGTATTTAGGGTGTCGGGGACATTAATTATAGTGTTAAATTTCTCTTTATGAGCAAGCGTTAATAAAGTCCTCGGGAAGCGAGAGAAGAAAGGACGGTGCATACCTTTTGGTTCCTGCAGTTGATTGTAGATTAGTACTCTCACCAAGCTTAGGTTGGTTATTACCTGAGACTTGACCTGGGTTTGTTTACACAATGTATTTATATGTTTGTTGTTTTGTTTCCATTCAAAAATCATTCAAATATGGATGTATATTGCGAAACTTATGTCAGGAAAATGTAGCAAACTATCGCATGCTTTGTATTCAGTCTTGCATAGAGACTCAGTTGTAAATCAACGGACTTATAAATGAATGAATCAGGTATTTCTTGTGTTTAGATCTTACAGAGATGTATATCATCCTCCTGGTCCAAAACTCTCTCTGATACATATTAGCAATCTTGGAATGCGAGTATTTCAAATTCTAGTAAATGCTACACATATCGTATGTCTCCAGGACATCACATCACCGCCTGCCACTAGAAACCGAGACATGGATTCAAACTGCAAGTTGTGTGATAGTTTTCCCATTCGAGATGAATTCCACTATATTTTCAAATGTGTCAATGAACAAAGGGGCATGCACGTCGAAACTCTATTCAAAAAGACCAAATATGTTACAACGCCAGCAATTATTTAACTGCCATAAGATCTCTGGCCAAAAGAAATTGTGTAAATTTGTTAACATTATAATGAAAACTTTAAAGACTTCCGGTTAACCTCTGTCCACCCTCTGTTCACCGCAATTTAAAATACTGTCTGTACCTCTTATGCCGATGCACTCGGCCTGAGAGAAGTAAAGTGCTGTACTTACTGTTCTGTACTGTTCTATTCTTTTCTGAAGGCGATAACAATGCTTCAATGTATACTGTATGTATTCTTCACTCAAACAACACTAGCTCATTATAATTTCATCAGTAGCCAAAATTGGTATACGAAAGAGAAATTAGATTTATAAAAATATCGATAAAACGACACACTATAAAACAAGTTGAGAGGCTATTAATTTTCATATCAAAATGTCTATGTGTGATATGTGACCTCCAGAAAAAGCCATGCATGTATGCAAATTACTTTGAGTGTTCACAAATTTAATGCTATTTCCAATCGCAAACATCCTTTCACATGTTGAATAAGTGATTAAAGTTGGTAGACATTTGTGTTACACGGAGCAGGTGCACGAACAAGTTCTCTAATCCGGTCGCACACGTTGTGGGATATTATTTCTACAAGCAGTTTAAATCATCGTCGCTGTTTTCTCTCTAAAACGGATGTCTTAAGGACCTTGAACTTCCGAAACATTAGCGTTACATTATTTTATTTCCAAAATTTGCATTAATTTTCTCTAATCAAAGACACGGACTCCCAACTAAATCCCAAACTCAGGTGTATTGAAGCGAGGCACGGAGACGAAGTCAATTGTCCTTTTGAAGACACGAGGCTCGCTTTCCAAAGAATTTGCGGTTCGGGCGAGTACTATTGATGTGGAAAATTATGTTAATAATCGTCTTATACGTCCATATGTCGTCAATAAGGATTCCTTTCATAAATCTGCTCTCCTCGTCCGTCGTTCGGCCGCAAAATACCGAAATTGTTTCTTTACCTCGCGTCGGATTGGGGATCATCGGAGGCCTCAACAATACAATGAATGGTCCCGCTAACAAAAAAATTCAAAGGCTGCTCCCTGAGCGTTCTTGACTTTCATTATGGAATATAGTTGAATGTTTCAAGACATTAACAAGATCTTTTCAAGAGCTTGCTGTCAATTAGGTTTAACCAAACCACTGTTCTTGTTCGTGTGTTAAAACAACTGAATCTCCTAACGACGTGGTGTAAAAAACCCATCTTTATCAACGGCACCGTATGTTGAAATAGCTCTCATATTAAAGAGATGAAAATGTTCACATGCGCGTGCGGTTGGCTGCATATGTTATGAACAAATATCACACGCGTCAGTTATTTTGCGCCAATAAAGGAAAGAGATATCAAGTGATTATTCAGACAGGAAGTTAAAACGGTGGAACATAATTTGTGTGTAGTGCCTGGACTTCTGTTGGTTTTATTACAACACGTTTTATTGCACAGAGGATAACAATTGCATTTCACAAGTGATTTGATTCGATCAAGAACTCAACAATGAAGTGATTATTTTGTTCAGAAAGTCTTTTATTCCTGACAACTTTGGATTAAATCAAGACGGAAAGATGAAAGTATGGATTTGTTAAGTTCAGAAGATGAAATTTTGATTTGGATTCCCTAAAAGATTGTTTTCTTCGAGTGCGCACATATGGTAGAAATTGTTACAAGTCTCACTCGACCGAGAGGTATTTAGTGAAATCGACTTGACTTATGTTGAAACGTAATCAAATTAAAGCTGCAATATTTGATCCCCCGTAACACGTAACGCCACTTGGAGCACACGGCACACAACTACACCATGCATGCACAGTAAAGGTAGATATCGATAGAAACTTGGTCATGTGTATAGTAAATTGTTTGTAAATATTTTGAAGCTCTTGATTAAAATCTCAACATCTTAATTTTTGCATAAAATGTTCATTATTTTGCGTTAATAATATTTTATTAAAAGACCCATATTATTTTGAAAAACGATTTGCTGCATAATTAGTAGCCAATTTCATTAAATCTTTTGCAACTGAGTTTCCTCAGCATTGAGCTGAGAAACTACTCCTTACAATCTCCCACTAGACAGAGCGATTTTTATCGCGTATCCAGCTCTACCATGTTTTACGTTTACTCATCAAGATCTAATTTTGATCATTCAGTTTCATTCAGTTCAGATCTTAGTTACAGCTGCCGCTAAACAAAGTTTTTAAGCAGAAGAAAGATTTTGAATGAGTTTGGATCACATTACATGTTCTGCGTATCGATCTTGAGAAGTGTATTGGTTTACTGTTTGAAGTCGACATGAGACCACTTGCTCTACCTTACGGTTACAGGTTAATTTTATGTATAATTGTACATTTATATTGAACTTGAACATGTTTATATAAAGCACCAACTAAAATATGTCTTTCCCGAAACAGTATTTATATAAGCAATGTCACATACACATGTAACAAGTACAATTTATACACTTCATTAAACCTTAATCAGTTAGTATTCTGCATATTTGCTGCGTGCTTGTTAATATATAAGGTTACTTCGGATAACGACCAGGATATTTCGTATAGCATACAGACAGGAAACATTGTCTAGTGCTGCACACATATGACGGAGGTAGTGTCCAACTACAGTACACTGCTGTCTACCCCCCTCCCCCCCCCCCCCCCCCCGCACTTCCCTTCACACACACCTTCTTCCTCCGCTGTGTAGACGGGGCGGTCTGCTGAAGCCAGAGGGGTGTGGCTCCGACTTCCGAGGGGAGGGGGTGCAGGCGCCAGGGGAGGGGCTCAGGGGTGGGGGTTAGGGGTGAATAATCCCAGTATTCCATATTGTAGCAGTAAGCATGTGCACAGAATGGTTTCAATAAATGTCAGGGAATGCCCATATGGCGATTGTGAGCAGATTGCTCCCACACTAAGAACGAACCCAGTCTCCTTCTCCCATGTCCCCCCTCTCCACCCCTCGTGTTAGTCTTGCTCACAGCCGCTCCTTGACCCCCCGAATAATGTCAATAAGTAGCCTGCTTCTAATCCAAAGACTTCAGCTTTATTAGCGAAAGGTTGTGGCTTTTGTTGGACTATTTGATTACATGATGTTGGGAGGAGTGTGTGGGGGGCGAGGGGGGGCGGGGTGGGGGGGGTGGGGGTTTTGGGGGGGGGGGGGGGGGATATTTCAAGATGACTCGTGACTGTTCTCAATGTGTGGGAAATACAAGTTTGCCTCTGATCTCTTACGTGAGAGAGTTGACGCCCCCACTTTTGTTTTTCTTTGACAACATTTCAAAACCAGTTCTGAAGAATGTAATAATGGGTAAGGGGTTTGTACTTGTCTACTCCGTCACGTTCTCTGGGGAACAAGGGGCAGAGGATACATGCACTGTCTTGTACTGTAATCGTTACTAGGAATAATATTATCATACGCTAAAATACGTTCAATTAAATCATTTCGGTGGAATTAGGATTTCGTCTTGCACGGTTTATACCACAGTTCCTCTAACCGCAGATATATAACACCACAATAGGTGTACGCTAGGATCAACGTGACAGCCTACCCTAACTCGACCTTCCTCTTAACAGGATCACCAGAATAGGACAGGACGCTACTCCATTCAGGCCCAGATACACAGCATGTTTAGGTTAGCAGAGCAGTTTATGTGTCTTTGATGGAGACTATTTCACATTTGTTACTGCAGTGCGGGGTCAGGCATCAAATAATTACTTGTTTATGCAAATTGTGTGAGTGGCGGGTGCTGCCGGTAGCACGGGACATGACATGCTGACCCTTTTCGCGAACACCTGGTGTCAATAATGATTTTCAGTAATCCATTCATATAATTGTCACTGCTACATTGCCTTTGGAATTTATTTCGGCGGATAACCGAGGCTGGCGTTGACGTTCTATATTAACAATTATTCTGTTGAGATGAACAACTTTCTTTGAAACAGGCATTCTCTTGTATTCTTAGGAAGAGATCAGTTTACACTCACAAATGTTTTTGTTTTTTATAAAATAGGATTTCAAAAAGTAGAATAAATAACAGTTACTGTAGTCCTCGCATAAGTCCTTACAATAACATATGTACAGTGTATAACAGTGTATAATTTCCGTTTTCAAATGTAAAAATGTGGCACGAGATTCAAACTTTAAAGGCTCAAACCCTCCACTAAATAAAGTTTCAAACATCACCCAGCTACTCTGTACCATGTCTCAACCATCACTCCACTCTCCTCCACTGTACCATGTCTCAACCATCACCCCTTCTCAACTATACCATGTCTCAACCATCACGCCAACCTCCCCCACTGTACCATGTCTCAACTATCACGCCAGCCTCCTTCACTGTACCATGTCTCAACCATCACGCCACCCTCCTCCACTGCACCATGTCTCAACCATTACGCCACCCTCCTCCACTGTACCATGGATCAACCATCACTCCACCCTCCTCCACTGTACCATGTATCAACCATCACGCCACCCTCCTCCACTGCACCATGTCTCAACCATTACGCCACCCTCCTCCACTGCACCATGTCTCAACCATCACGCCACCCTCCTCCACTGTACCATGTCTCAACCATCACGCCACCCTCCTCCACTGTACCATGGATCAACCATCACTCCACCCTCCACCACTGTACCATGGATCAACCATCACTCCACCCTCCTCCACTGTACCATGTCTCAACCATCACTCCACCCTCCTCCACTGTACCATGGATCAACCATCACTCCACCCTCCTCCACTGTACCATGTCTCAACCATTACGCCACCCTCCTCCACTGTACCATGTATCAACCATTACGCCACCCTCCTCCACTGTACCATGTATCAACCATCACTCCACCCTCCTCCACTGTACCATGTCTCAACCATTACGCCACCCTCCTCCACTGTACCATGTCTGGTCCATCATGCCACCCTCCTCCATTGTACCATGTCTCAACCATCACGCCAGCCTCCTCCAGTGTACCATGTCTCAACCATCACTCCACCCTCCTCCACTGTACCATGCATCAACCATCACCCCTCCTCTAGTGTACCTTATCTCAACCATTACCCCTCCTCCACTGTGTCATGTCTGATCCATCAGCCGCCCCCCCCCCCCCCCCCCTCTATTGGCCATGTCTGATCCATCACCCCTCCTCCATTGTACCATGTCTGAACCATCACGCCACCCTCCTCCACTGTACCATTCATCAACCATAACCCCTCCTCTAGTGTACCTTATCTCAACCATCACGCCACCCTCCACTGTGCCATGTCTGATTCATCACCCCACCCCCCTCCATTGTACCATGTCTGAACCATCACGCCACCATCCTCCACTGTACCATGTATCAACCATCACTCCACCCTCCTCCACTGTACCATTCATCAACCATAACCCCTCCTCTAGTGTACCTTATCTCAACCATCACGCCACCCTCCACTGTGCCATGTCTGATCCATCACTCCCCCCTCCACTGTACCATTTCTGATCCATCATGCCACCCTCCTCAACGGTACCATGTCTCAACCATCAGGCCAGGCTCCTCCACTTTACCATGTCTCAACGATCACCCCTCCTCCACTGTCCCATGTCTGAGCCATCACGCCACCCTCCTCCACTTTACCATGTCTCAACCATCACGCCAGCCTCCTCCACTGTACCATGTCTCAACGATCACCCCTCCTCAACTGTACCATGTCTGATCCATCATGCCACCCTCCTCCGCTGTACCATGTATCAACCATCACCCATCTTCCACTGTACCATGTCTCAACCATCACCCCTCCTCCACTGTACCATGTCTGATCCATCATCCCCCACCCCCCACCCCCATTCAACCCCACCATCGAACCCCAATACCTTGATAAACACCACTCAACCCCACCATCTAACCCCTATTCCTTGATACACAGACCATTCAACCCCACCATCTAACACCAACTCCCAACACACACATTTCAAGACCACAACTAACCCCTATTCCTTGATACACACGCCACTCAAAACCACCATCTTACTTCAGTCCAATCCCTTGATACACACACCACTCAACACCATCATCTAACCTCAATTCCTTGATACACGCACTACTCAACCCCACCATTCAACCTCAATCCAATCCCTTGATACACACACCACACAACACTATCGTCTAACCTCAATTCCTTGATACACACACCACTCGACACCACCATCTGACCCCAATTCCTTGATACACACACCACTTAACCCCACCATCTTAGCTCAATCCGATCACTTGATACACACACCACTCGACACCACCATCTGACCCCAATTCCTTGATACAAACACCACTCAACCCCACCATCTAACCTCAATCCGATCCCTTGATACACACACCACTCAACACCACCATCTGACCTCAATCCGATCCCTCGTTACACACACCACTCAACCCCACAATGTAACCCCTATTCCTTGATACACACACCACTCAACCCCACCATCTAACCTCAATCCGATCCCTTGATACACACACCACTCAACCCCACCATCTAACCTCAATCCGATCACTTGATACACACACCACTCGACACCACCATCTGACCCCAATTCCTTGATTCAAACACCACTCAACCCCACCATCTAACCTCAATCCGATCCCTTGATACACACACCACTCAACACCACCATCTGACCTCAATCCGATCCCTCGTTACACACACCACTCAACCCCACCATGTAACCCCTATTCCTTGATACACACACCACTCAACCCCACCATCTAACCTCAATCGAATCCCTTGATACACACACCACTCGACACCACCATCTGACCCCAATTCCTTGATACACACACCACTCAACCCCACCATTCAACCCCAATCCGATCACTCGTTACACACACCACTCAACCATCCTCTAACCTCAATCCGATCCCTTAATGCACACACTACTCAATCCCACCATCATTCCCCAATACCTCGATACACACACCACTCAACCCCACCATCTAACCTCAATCCGATCCCTTAATACACACACTACTCAACACCACCATATAACCCCAATACAATGATACACACACCACTTAACACCACCATCTGACCTCAATCCGATCCCTCGTTACACACAACACTCAACCCCACCATCTTACCCCTATTCCTTGATACACACACCACTCAACCCCACCATCTAACCCCAATACCTTGATACACACACCACTCAACCCCACCATCTTACCCCTATTCCTTGATACACACACCACTCAACCCCATCATCTTACCCCTATTCCTTGATACACACACCACTCAACCCCACCATCTAACCCTAATACCTTGATACACACACCACTCAACCCCACCATCTAACCCCAATACCTTGATACACACACCACTCAACCCCACCATATTACTCCTATTCCTTGATACACACACCACTCAACCCCACCATCTAACCCCAATACCTTGATACACACACCACTCAACCCCACCATCTGACCCCTATTCCTTGATACACACACCACTCAACCCCACCATCTGACCCCTATTCCTTGATACACACACCACTCAACCAAACCATCCATCCCCAATCTGAGGTGAGGTGAGGTGAAATGGGGTTTTAACGTCGCGTCCAAGATTATTGCACTTATATAGCGACGTGCATGTACGTGTGTGTGTTTGTGTGGCTACTTGTACTAGGTCCGGACTGATGACGATTAATAGTGCTAGCACACTGAGATACCATGCCGCAGTTTAACATGAATATCCCACCCAGACACACTATACTGACTCCGAGCCGACCAGTCCTTGTTTTAGCCCCTTAATGCCGAGCGCCAGACAGGGTAACAACAAGTACCATCTTTTAACGCCTTTTGGTATGACACGGCCGGGGATCGAACCCCGGACCTTCCGCTCTCCGGGCGGACGCTCTACCACTAGACCACGGAGGCGGTCTCCCCAATCTGATCCCTTGATACACACACCACCCAACCCCAATCCTTTCATACACACACCCCTCAACCCCACCATCCGATACCTTGATACACACACCACACAATTCCACCATCTAACACGCACGCACGCACGCACGCACGCACGCACGCACTCACTCACTTACTCACTCACGCACGCACGCACACGCACCATGACCATATGCTGGTTTGTGTTCGTTCTGTTTCGTCCCATTCAACTAGACTGTAAATTCATGCCAAATGTTTTTTCTGGTAATAAAGAACAAAATGAAATATATATGTCAGACCTTACGATCCGCACTGGAATTCACGCGACCTTTTTCTTATGTTTTATATCACAGCCGACGTTGACATGTAGACTTTTTGATAGTCAGGAGTTTTCTCTTTATAAAAATCAAAATGTTCAGCGTCAAATGTTACACAACTGAAGCACAATAATAAGGATCAGTCCCATCCGGTATAGGAATACATATTCCCGACCCTTGACTTGCAGATATGGAGATATCATTATGTAAACCTCGCAGAAATTCTTGTCCCGAAACATATAAAACCAGGAATGTCTCCCAGCTTTAATATGGCCGATATAGTCGCAGTTTATTTTAAAAACAAATATCACACAATCATTTGTTTGTGAATTCCCCACTGCACGTGGTCAACATGCTTCGAGGTGCTCGCCCATTTCAAATTCTGCACGTGCGGGTGTTATTTAAGCCCTACTTTGTTAAAACCATCGGGCTGTTTACATGCATCTCTCCCATTCCGTGCAGGGATTCTTGGGAACTACTTTGACGGCGGAGAGTTAAAACTAACAAAGGTTGTGAAGTAGCAGTAGAAGCAAAGCAAACGCCATTACGGCAAACAAACACTCGTTAAGATAATCTGTATGGAAGCTCTTCTGGGATATAACTATGCAGAACTACATCACGTGCAGTTGGATGAGAGCGATTTACTCCATACACCACGTGTTTTGTTGAATAAATTGAATATATTGAGAAACTGAAGCCTGTAATGGTTCATGATGATGTTACTAGACATATTTACTGGAATAGAGTAGCTCCTTTGAGGCCTCAGGTCACGCTGGTTTAGTGTGTCATTGCACCCGACTGGGGGACTGAGGCTCCCCTGTCGGACGCTGGTTAAGTGTGTCATTGCACCCGACTGGGGGACTGAGGCTCCCCTGTCGGACGCTGGTTTAGTGTGTCATTGCACCCGACTGGGGAACTGAGGCTCCCCTGTCGGACGCTGGTTAAGTGTGTCATTGCACCCGACTGGGGGACTGAGGCTCCCCTGTCGGACGCTGGTTAAGTGTGTCATTGCACCCGACTGGGGGACTGAGGCTCCCCTGTCGGACGCTGGTTTAGTGTGTCACTGCACCCGACTGGGGGACTGAGGCTCCCCTGTCGGACGCTGGTTTAGTGTGTCATTGCACCCGACTGGGGGACTGAGGCTCCCCTGTCGGACGCTGGTTTAGTGTGTCATTGCACCCGACTGGGGGACTGAGGCTCCCCTGTCGGACGCTGGTTTAGTGTGTCATTGCACCCGACTGGGGGACTGAGGCTCCCCTGTCGGACGCTGGTTTAGTGTGTCATTGCACCCGACTGGGGGACTGAGGCTCCCCTGTCGGACGCTGGTTAAGTGTGTCATTGCACCCGACTGGGGGACTGAGGCTCTCCTATCGGACATTGTTTTTTGTAGGGAGGTCACGATACACCGCGATACTGGAGGCATGATACACCACGATACTGGAGGCATGATACATCGCGATACTGGAGGCATGATACACCGCGATAATGGAGGCATGATACACCGCGATAATGGAGGCATGATACACCGCGATAATGGAGGCATGATACACCGCGATAATGGAGGCATGATACACCGCGATAATGGAGGCATGATACATCGTGATACTGGAGGCATGATACATCGTGATACTGGAGGCATGATACATCGTGATACTGGAGGCATGATACATCGTGATACTGGAGGCATGATACATCGTGATAATGGAGGCATGATACATCGTGATACTGGAGGCACGATACATCGTGATATTGGAGGCACGATACATCGTGATACTGGAGGCATGATACATCGTGATACTGGAGGCACGATACATCGTGATATTGGAGGCATGATACATCGTGATACTGGAGGCA